TGACCTCGTGATCCACCCGCCTCGGCCTCCCAAAGTGCTGGGATTACAGGCTTGAGCCACCGCGCCCGGCCGGAAGCATAGTTTTTAAAATCATCATCTGACTTAGGTGACCTGCCCAAGTGTCCAAGACCACACATCCAAATGACAAGTTAGGGTTTTAAGCCAGGACTGTTAGACTTCAAAGCCTCTTAACCATTCCACTGCCCTGCTGTAGGGCACAGGGAAATAGAGGGGGATAAGCCATGGTTGCCATCAAAGATTCAATAACGATAACATACGGATGGTGAGGATGATGGCAGCTGCTGTTTATTGGGCACCAGCTGTGGTCAGGTACAGTGCTGCGCACTTTAGTTCCACTGTTAAGTCACCAGGACAAAAACTCCCCACACCAGCTCTGTAATAGGGGTGAGTGTTGGACATAAGCAGGGAGCTGACAAGAAGCCAAGATCAGGCTGGGCATGGTGGCTCATGCCTGTAACCCCAGCACTTTGGGAGGCTGAGGTGGGTGGACCCAGGAGTTCAAGACCAGCCTGGCCAAGGTGGCGAAACCCTGTCTCTACTAAAAAATACAAAAATTAGCTGGGGGTGGTGATGCGTACCTGTAATCCCCGTTACTCAGGAGGCTGAGGCAGGGAGAATTGCTCGAACCCGGGAGGCGGAGGTTGCAGTGAGCCAAGATGGGGCCACTGCACACCAGCCTAGGCAACAGAGCGAGATTCCATCTCAAAAAAAAAAGAAGCCAAAATTAGAGATCCTTGCACTGCTAGGCTCCCAAAGTCTGGATTCTGAGCACCTCCAGGTTCCTATTTTGGCATATTTACATAATTTCACATTTTAATGCCTAGGTAATTTTTTTATATAACAAAACATTTTTTACGTATCTCAAATGTGTACCTTTTTCCTTTGAGATAGGTCTTGATCTGTCACCCAAGCTGGAGTGCAGTGGTGCATTCATAGCTCACTGCAGCCTCAAGTTCTAGGGCTCAAAAGATCCTCCTGCCTAAGCCTCCAGAGTAGCCGGGGGTCTACAGGTGTGTACCACCATGCCTGGCTACAATTATTATTCCCAAATGCTATCCCACCATATTTCTAAAAACTCCCAAAGTAAGATTCTACTTTGCCCAGTTTGTCCTTAATTGAGCAGTTTTGTCTAAGCCCAGAATTTCTGCTGGGCCAGCCTGTGTGGATGAGCTCTCTCTCCCAGGCGGGTGCCCATCCCTTTCTGTAGCCTGGGAGGGGGAGGGGCACCCAGGGTCACGTGGAACAAAACAAGACTGCCTAGGGCTACCTCTGTCTCCATCTCACTGACGGCAAACCACAGCTCAGAGGGCCAGCTCTTAAATGAGACCTGAGTGCCAGAGAGGTGGACACAAGGCCAGCAGCTACTAAATGAATTAAAATTCTGATTCCAATGAAACCTACTAGAAAAATAAAATATTTTTTAAAAGATGGTTAAATAAGGCGATATCTGATTAGGGCAAACTTGATGCAGACAGGAAATGCAGCGGTTCAGAGGAGGGAAGGTCAGGCCACCTGGGGAGAGTCCATGAAAAAGATGGAACGTGCCAGACGCTGTGCCTGGTGCTGGGAAAGAGTTGACTAGGACAGCATCCCTTTCCTCAAAGGGCTCCTAGACTCAGGGGAGGGCCGGACATCTGAACACATCCTGAGGAGACAGTGTGGGACGGCACGGTGGCAGTGGAGCCAGCCCTGGTTCTTCTCTTGGTTGGCTGGAAAGGAGTAGATGTAAGGGATGGCTTAGAAGAAGGGAAGTGGAAGAAAAGTTTTCTGAGCTGACAAGAGGAAGGAAAGGCCTTCTAGACAGGACACTACAAAGGCAGAGAAGCCCTAAGCAGAGTGAACACCAGACTCCACAGGTTAAGGGCTCAGTCACACAGGACCGCCCCCACATCAGACCCCAGGTGCAAGGCCAAGCATCACCTATGCATCTGACCAGCTGGCTATAAACTAGAGGTCCCAACAGCTCCCTCCTCAGGTTTGAACATTTGCTAGAACAGCTCACAGAACCCAGGAAAACAGTTTTCTTACTATTGCTGATTTATTACAAAGGATATTTTAAAGGATACGAATGAACAGCCTGATGAAGAGATACACAGGGTGAGGTCTGGAAAGGTCCTTGTGGAGTTGGGGTGCACCACCCTCCCGGCACATGGATGCGTTCGCCAACCCAGAAGCTCTCCAAGCCCTGCCTTTCAAAGAATTTTCTGGAGACTTTATCACATAGTCATGATTGAGCTCCCGCTCCATTCCCTACCCCGGAGGCTGGGGAATTGGTCTGAAAGCACAAAGCTTCCACCCATAGTTAGGTCTTTCTGGTGACCAGACCCAAATAAAGAGCCCACCAAGAGTCACCTCATGAGAACAAAGGACGCTTCTATCACCCAGAAAATTCCAAGGGATTTAGGAGCTCTGTGTCAGGAACCAGGTTCAAAGACCAAATGTTAGAACAAAAGATATGCAACCATAAAAAAACAGCAAGATCATGTCTTTCGCAGGAACACGGATGGAGCTGGAGGCCATTATCCTCAGCAAACTAAGACAGGAACAGAAAACCAAACACTGCATGTTCTCAGTTATAAGCGGGAGCTAAATGATGAGAACTCATAAACAAGAGACACTGGGCCCTACCTGAGGGTGGAGGGTGGGAGGAGGGAGAGGAGTAGAAAAAACTATTGGGGACTAGGCTTAGTACCTGGGTGATGAAATAATCTGTGCAACAAACCCCCATAACACAAGTTTACCTATATAACGAACGTGCACATGTATCCCCTAACCTAAAATAAAAGTTTAAAAAGGAAAAAACACCTGGGAGAAAAGAAAAATGAAAAATTAACAACAAAAAAAGAAGACAATGCTCTTAGCGCCCCCATCATTCAGGAATTTCCAAAGGGTTTAGGAGCTTTGTGTTAGGAACTGGGGGCAGAGACTATATATATATATATATATATATATATATATATATATGTCTTCTTATGTTACACTACCCCAGATAGGAAAACAGAAATTACTCTAGCTATTTCAAACAAAAAGGGGTTGTATATAGGCAATTAGTGCTTATCACTGGAGGGGCTAGAGGTGGTGAAGGTTGGGGAGGAGGAGGTTGCACCACTGGCTTTCAGGCTGCTTTACCACAGCTGATTTCCAGAGGATGGAAGAAGTCAGGAAACTCGGGAAACCACTGCTGAGGTCCTTGCAGCCCCAGGGTCCCCAGGCTGGTGACTGGTGGGGGAGTATGGAGTCCAGCTGACCAGAGCCTGCACATGTGCTGCTACGGAGGAGGAAAGGATGACTTCTACCTCCCTTCCACATTCCAAATCCCACGTGACTCCATTTTATTGGCAGCACCCCGCTGGCAAGGGAGCCTTGATGTGTGCTTCCTGGGCTTCCAGCAGCTGCACACAAAGGGGTGAAATGAGTGTCACGAGCAGCCACCACCCTGCAGCACACTTCCACATTCAGGCATGCTGGGGAACCCCACTTATAATTGGATGTGTCCTGGCACTCTACTCACTTTTGGTAGGTGTTTGGATGTCCGAGGCTTTGCAAAAGAAGAAGGCGGGGAGTCTACGGTGGAGTCACATGGTGGAGACCTAGCTAAGTCAGAGGCCTGGAGAGGTGTCACTCTAGCTGGGCAGCAGGTGACACACAATCATGCCCTGAGTTGATTGGAGAAACACCTGAGATTGACCTGGAGTTTGTTCTAGAATGTTTTCACTGGAATGAAAGCTAAGCAGTCTGCAGGCCATATAGTACTGGAGGAAACATAGCCCTCATCGAAAAAGGCTGCCAGAGAAAAGGTGTCCACAGGGAAATTCAGCGGTTTTGTTTGTCTGTTTGTTTTTTCTTTTTTTTTTTTTTTTTCAGATGGAGTTTTGCTCTTGTTGCTCAGTCTGGAATGCAATGGCATGATCTTGGCTCACTGTATCCTCCACCTCCTGGGTTCAAGCAAGTCTCCTGCCTCAGCCTCCCTAGTAGCTGGAGTTACAGGCATGCACCACCACGCCAGGCTAATTTTTATATTTTTAGTAGAGACGTGGTTTCACCATGTTGGTCAGGCTGGTCTTGAACTCCTAACCTCAGGTGATCCACCCGCCCCAGCCTCCCAAACGGCTGGGATTACAGGTGCGAGCTGCCGCGCCCAGCTTGTTTTTTTGTTTGTTTGTTTGTTTGTTTGTTTGTTTTTTGAGACAGTCTCACTCTGTCACCCAGGCTGGAATGCAGTAGCATGATCTCGGTTGACTGCAACCTCTGCCGTCTGGGTTCAAGTGATTCTCCTGCCTCAGCCTCCTGAATAACTGGGATTTTTCTAAAAACAGATTCCACCATGTTGGCCAGGCTAGTCTTGAACTCCTGACATCAAGTGATCTGCTCACCTTGGCCTCCCAAAGTGCTGAGATTACAGGCACGAGTCACTGCGCCCCGCCAGCAAATTCAGTTTCTGAAAATACACCTGTGGATCTCTAGCCTTGAGCATCCTTGGATGCTGCTTTAAATGACTGATCCTCGATGCCTCCCTTCTAACTCACACGCGCACTCCCCTACATCAGTCTCCCAGAAAAAGGGACTTCTTTTATTTTATTATTATTATTTTTAGAGACGGGCCTCACTTTGTTGCTCAGGCTGGTTTTGAACTCCTGGCCTCAAGTGATCCTCCCGCCTTGGTCTCCCAATACTGAGATTACAGGCAGGAGTCCCTGCGCCCAGCAAATCCTATATTAAACCCTTTTATGTTCACTCTGCCTGCGGTACTGCAGAGAGGGCAGGGAGGAAGCAGAGGTGCCCCGGCGTCTTCAGCTGGAGGTGAGCAGGGCGCTGAGGGTGGGAGAGGCCGGGCGCCTGGGGATGGGAGGCGGGACCGCACCTTCACAGGAACGCTGCCACCCCTATCCCGGAGGTCAGGGCCTCTTGCCCAGCTCTGGCTCTGAGGTCCTGGAGGGAGGGAGATGCTGTTGCGACTCCGAAGACTGGGGGAGGGCCACCCCCATTCCAGAAGAGTGAAAAATCCTGGGCCTGAAGCAGAAGTGGAAGCGGTTGGAGCTGAGGCTTTAGAGAGTGGCTTTCGAAAGAGGGTCTGGCGCCGCCCTGTGGACTGTTTGGGCTCGCAGGGCTGAAGGCTCCGAAGACCCAGACTTGCGAACCGTGGGGAGGTTCCACGCGGATGGGGGCCACAGACCCCGCCGGAGCCCCCACACGAGCCCTGGACTTCTCCACCGACTTAAGACATGAGAGCTCAATAAGCTCCTTATTTAACGCACTGTTGTATCAGGTCCCTGTGGGAGCCACTTGCCCTATACCTAATAAAGGAGCGGGTGCACGCATTGGGTTGGTGAGCTACCGCCACAGCAACGCGTCCTAATCAACCATCGCAAACGGCGGCTGGAACAAGGTTCTAGCAGGCCTGTGCTTGGGCTTCAACGCTGGGCCGGCCGCTGCGCTCTGCGGCTCCCTGAAGGCCTGCGGATCGGCCAGGGGGCTCCGTTCCTTCTGGGCCGAGGCTGAAGAAGCAGCGGCTGCACCAGAGAAGGGTTTCTGGGTGAAGGTGGAAGCGCACGGGGCCCGCGGAACGGCCTAAGGCGTCTTCAGACGTGGGCTTGGAACTGGCAGGCTTTCGTTTCTGCTTCATTCCATGGCTAGTGCAAGCCACGTGGGCAAGCCCGAAGTCAGGGGGCGGGAAAGTACCCTCCACCCACAACGAAACCATGGCAAGCGGTGGGTGCAGGTAGGGCTGAGGAATTGGGGCTAATAGTCTATCTATCCTGGTGAGTGAGGAGACCTGCTTTGGGGGTTGCACAGCCTGGGTCTGCTTTTACAGTGGTGTCTGTCACTATGAAGACTCCACCACGGGTCGCCATCAGGTCAGGGACCCTGCAAGGCAAGAACTACATCTTCCTCTGCACACAACCCCACTCCCTTTCCCCCATACCTAACACCACACTCCCTTCCCCCCATGCCTAACCCCACACTCCCTTCCCCCCATGCCTAACACCACACCACCCTTCCCCCACTTTTCTTCCTCCTAACCCCACACATCACCTAACACCACCTCCCTTCCCCCATGCCTAACCCACACTCCCTTCCCCATACCTAACCCCCTCCCTTCCCCCATGCCCTAACCCCTCCTCTTCCCCCATGCTAACCCCACACTCTCTTCCCATGCCTAACACACTCTCTTCCCCCATGCCTAACCCACTCTCTTCCCCAAAACCTTTAACCCCACCTCTATATAAGTGCCTAACACTTCCCCCCATGCCTAACCCCACACTCTCTTCTCCCCGTGCCTAACACCAAGCCCCGCCCTGAGGGATGACTCAGGAATAGTACTGAGAGCATTTTAGGCCATTCCTGCGTTATCCCCATGTGACTTGTTATGAAATATAGACTGACTTCCTGAAGATCAGCAAATAGTGCGAAGTATTTGGCTTGTAATCTGTAAAGAGACTCTGCCATTTGGAGCTGGGATCTGTCCCCAGATCTGTCAGACACCAAATCCCATATCTACTGCCACCCAAAGGGAACTCCAGAAGAAAGGGGTTATACAGGGTCAAATACCAAGGCAAGTTAGTGAAATTTCTCTAGAGGCCATTTAAAGCTGGAGTCTCACCACCTGAATTGCCCTCAGAGGAAGACTGTCTAGGGCGCAAACCTAGTCAGGGGTCCACATGAACTTAAGGACAATGTTTTTGTTTTTGTTTTTGTTTTTGAGACAGTGTCATTCTGTCGTCCAGGCTCGAATGCGGTGGTGTGAACCCGGCTCACTGCAAGTCTCAACCTCCTGGGCTCAGGTGATCTTCCCACCTCAGCCTCCTGAGTAGCGGGGACCACAGGCTCATGCCATCATACCCAATTAATTTTCTTTTAAATTTTTTGTAGAGATAAGGTCACCCCGTGTTGCTCAGTCTAATCTTGAACTCCTGGACTCAAATGATCCTCCTGTCTCTGCTCCTTAAAGTCCTGGGACCACAGGTGTAAGCCAATGCACCTGGCCTTATTTATTTTTTTATTTATTTTTTTGAGACAGAGTCTTGACCTGTCGCCTAGGCTGGAGTGCAGAGTCGCCATCGCCATCTCGGCTCACTGCAAGCTCCGCCTCCTGGGTTCAGGCCATTCTCCTGCCTCAGCCTCCCGAGTAGCTGGGACTACAGGAGCCCACCACCACGCCCAGCTAGTTTTTTGTATTTGTAGTAGAGATGGGGTTTCACCGTGTTAGCCAGGATGGTCTTGATCTCCTGACCTCGTGATCCGCCTGCCTCGGCCTCCCAAAGTGCTGGGATTACAAGCGTGAGCCACCGCGCCTGGCCACCTGGCCTCTTAAGAATAATTTTGAAAACAATGAGGTTCACCGTCACAGCCCCTGCTGCTCTACTAAGTCCTTTGGCCCCTCTCTCAGGGCAAAAGCAAGCTCAGCCCCAGATGTTCTGCTTAATGGCCACCTTTCCCAGGAGACTTTGCTCTATGAAGGAGAACCACTTAGAGATATGAGCAACCTTAAAGAATGCCACCAGCACTACTGAATGCCTGGCATGGGCCACGTGGGTGGAGAGTATATTTTAGGGCAGTCATTCATGGTAAATTATTTCCACCAGCCCCCAAAAGTGACTACTCAATATCCAACTATGTCAGGCCCAGGCTGATAAAAGTAGAGGCATGAGGAACCTAGGGTTGTTTTGATGTGCCTTGGTTATGGTATATGTGGAAGATTTTAGAGCTTGTTATAAAAAGGGATGACCCATGGCTCTCCAGGCTGGGTCTGGGATTGCCTTTGTGGATTACAAGAGGATATTATGCAGCAGTTTTTTTAAAAATGAGGCAGACTGGGACAATCTATCTCCAAGATACATAGGCGCTGTTAAGGGAGCAAAGCAAGATGTAGTAGGGCATGTATAGTATGCACTGTATGCTGTGTGCTATCTGCATAGAACTGTGAGGTCTGATACAGTAGCCACTAGCCACATATGGCTATTAACATAGAAATTTAGGTTGAGCCTGGTGGCTCACGCCTGTAATCCCAGCACTTTGGGAGGCCAAGTGGGAGGATAGCTTGAGGCCAATAGTTCGAGACCAGCCTGGGCAACATAGTGAAACCCCTTTTCTACGAAAAAAATTATTTATTTATTTATTATTATTATTATTATTATTATTATTATTATTTTTGAGACAGGTCTCACTCTGTCACCCAGGCTGGAGTGCAGTGGCTCAGTCTCAGCTTATTACAACCTCTGCCTCCTGGGTTCAAGTGATTCTCATGCCTCAGCCTCCAAGTAGCTGGGTCTACAGGTGCGCACCACCATAGCCAGCTAATTTTTGTATTTTTGGTAGAGACAGGGTTTTGCCACGTTGGCCAGGCTGTTCTTGAACTCCTGACCTCAGGTGATCTGCCCGCCTCAGCCTCCCAAAGTGCTGAGATTACAGGCATGAGCCACTGCACCCGGCCAAAAAATTTAAAACTGTAAAAATTAGCCAAACGTGGTGTCTTGCATCTGTAGTCCCAGCAACTTAGGAGGCTGAGGTGGGAGGATTTCTTGAGCCCAGGAGGTCAAGGTTGCAGTGAGCTATGACTGCACTGCTGCAATCCAGCCTGGACAACAGAGTGAGGCCCTGTCTCAAAAAATAAATAAACAGGAATTTGAGGCCATGTTCACATATGGCTGCAGACCAGTCTGGTAAACAGAGCAAGACCCTGTGTCTTCAAAAAAAAAGAAATTTTTTTTTTAAAGTCAGCTCCTAAGACACACTGGCCACATATGAAGTGTTCAACTGCCCCGTGTGGCTAATGGCTACCAAACTGGGCAGCACGGGCGACCATTTTCATCACCAAAGTTCTGTTAGACAATCTCTGGAAGCACACACAAGAAACTGGTAATGGTGATTGCCTTCGGGGAGGGAAACTGGGAGGGTGCAGGGCTGTATGCCCTTTTGTACCTCTTGAATTTCATATCATGTATTTGTATTAGGTGTTTACAAATTATTTTAAAAACAAACTGGGAATTAGGAATCCCTATATGGAATCACTGCAGTGGGACAGTGGTTCCCAAAAAACTGCTTTGCAATTTGCCTAAAACAAATTAAGGTAATAGCTATCATGATTTCATATTTAATATTTTTTCACAGCTTAGAGTTTCTTAGCTCCTGTTGCTCTCTCTCTGCTCTTATGAGCTCACAGGGTGACAAAGTGAATTAGTAAGTAGCAGGATAACATTAAAGGAAAAATTCCTGGGAAACATGGCAAAACCCTGGCTCTACAAAAATACAAAACATTAGCCAGGCATAGTGGCACGCGCCTGTGGTCTTAGAGACTTGGGAGGCTGAGGTGGGAGGATCGCTTGAGCCTGGAAGGCAGTAACTCAATCCCAGCAGAATCCCAGGGAGCGAAGGTGACTTATCCCAAAAGAAAAACAAGAAGGAAATTTTATTACCAGAAGACAAAGGGATGAAATGAGGGATGGAGAATCAAAGACTGAAGCTACTAGGGTTTGTTTTTATTAATTTTTAATTTTTTCAGAGGCAAGGGCCTCACTATGTTGCCCAGGCTGGTCTTAAACTCCTGGCCTCAAGCTATCCTCCTGCCTGAGCCTTCCAAGTTGTTGCATTCAACATGAGCCGCTGCATTCAACTTTGGTTTTTGTTTGTTTGGTTAGTTTTGTTTTGTTTTTTTGACAGAGTTTTGCTGTGCCACCCAGGCTGGAGTGCAGTCAGTGACTCAGCCTCGGCTCACTGCAGCCTTGACCTCCTGACCTCAAGTGATCCTCCCGCCTCAGTGCCACCCCTCACCACCCTCCAATATCTGGGACTACAGGCGCGCGTGACCGTGCACAGCTAAGTTTTCAATTTTTTATAGAGATGGGGTTTCGCCATGTTGCTCAGGCAGGTCTCCAACTCCTGGACTAAGCGATCTGCCTACCTTGGCCTCCCAAATTGTGAGCCGCCGCACCCACCATTTAAGATTGAAGCTAGACCAAGCAAACCCTTAAGCCTAAACCAGTAACAGTTTTTCACAAGTTCATAGATGTGACTGTGATAAATAACACACAAATTCACTTAAAAGCAGGTGTGTCCACGTGGTAATTTTTGGTCCGTATTTTTATTTTTATTTTCAGTTAATGGATATTACAGATACAACTTTTTTTTTTTCTTTTTTTTGAGATAGGGTCTCACTCTGTCGCCCAGGCTGGAGTGCAGTGGCATGATCAGAGCTCATTGCAACCTCTGCCTCCTGGGTTCAAGAGATTCTCCTCCCTCAGCTTCCTGAGTAGCTGGGATTGCAGGTACATGCAACCACACCTGGCTAATTTTTGTACTTTTTGTAGAGACAGGGTTTTACCATGTTGCTCAGGCTGGTCTTGAACTCCTAAGTTCAAGTGATCCACCTGCCTCGGCCTCCCAAAGTGCTGGGATTACACATGTGAGCCACCATGCCTGGCCTAAAGATATAACTTCTATCATGAGGAGGTCCAAGAACTATTCTCTTTTTCTTTTTTTAATGTTAGAAAGGGATTCTTTTTTTTTTTTTTTTGAGACGGAGTCTCGCTGTGTCACCCAGGCTGGAGTGCAGTGGCCCGATCTCGGCTCACTGTAAGCTCCGCCTCCCGGGTTTATGCCATTCTCCTGCCTCAGCCTCTGAGTAGCTGGGACTACAGGCGCCCGCCACCACGCCCGGCTAGTTTTTTGTATTTTTTAGTAGAGACGGGGTTTCACCATGTTAGCCAGGATGGTCTCGATCTCCTGACCTCGTGATCCACCCGCTTCGGCCTCCCAAAGTGCTGGGATTACAGGCTTGAGCCACCGCGCCCGGCCAAGGGATTCTTAACTGAGTATGTGCTGCAGCAAAGGCAGGGGAAATTAAGCAAGAAGAGAAGGGAGCCAGGAAATAAAGGCCCCAAAACAGGAAGCAGTTAAGCAAATTC